TTATTATTATTATTATTATTATTATTATTATTATTATTATTATTATTATTGCATGAAATTCATGAGAATTGTAATTCAATGCAATATTAAAGTACTTATTTTTGCAGGAAAAAGGTGGTAATTGAATGTAATTTTTAGAAATACACATTGACAAATTTTTTGTAAAGTAATACGAAAAAATAAATTTAAATTATATTATATAAAAAAAACACATTATTGTGAAATTAATATTTTGATATATGATAAGGAAAAAGTAGTTGATTCATTATAATAAGTTGTACTTAACTTAATCACTACAACATTCAGTTGCGATAATATATTATCATCATTCTCTTATAAAAAAATGTTTGTAAACAAAATTTAAACAATAATTGACACATTATGCTACTTTAATTATAAATTTTTTAGCTGTATAATTGTGTATTTATTATAAAAGTTAAGCGTTGTCACTTTTCACCAACTTTTACATAACTAATATTTAAGCTCAAATGAAATGAACAAAACAAATGATTATCAGATATAATCCATCAATATGATCATTTTGTAATTTGAGTGAAAACTATATAAATACTTTTTTTAACTCCCTTATTGTTGTTGAGATAACTCACTCTTTATGTTATCATTTTTTTTTAATCATTGCACACTATCATTTCGCACTATTCTGATATTGCTAACCCATAAATGAGACTAAATTAGATGCTATGTTCGAACACTAAATCAATTATTTTTATGTTGAAATGAAAATAAATGTTCATCTCAAAATAAAAGTTTATGTCTATACATATCGAATTATTTTTTATTATATTCCTTAAAGTTGTATTTTGTGTTTTTATAATATCATATTGGAAAAATAATCAAGATGGTCGCCGCCAATGTTAGGTCCATAGCTAAAACTTGTTTTGCATAAAATTTAAGATAATTTTAATTAACTTATTATTTAGAGATACAAAATTATTTTCACATATTATAAAATATTCAATAATAATAATATATAAGTTTAAAACAATAAAAAGTAAAACTAACAATTGAGATTTATGAATAATATAGTTTTTTTTTTTTTCATATTCAAATAGTTATGTTGTTTACAAAGTAATAAGATAAGAAAAATAATAGAAAACTGGAATGCAACTTCACATTAAATAATTATTTACAAAATAAGTATTTTTGACAAATAATTATATTTTGTAGTTCTGAATTTTCTACGTTGGAAACAACAATTTTACTTTATATTTATTTGACCATGTGAATTAGAGTGCAAGTTTTCAATGAATAATTATATACA